GCTAAAACATGAAGCCACAGCAGGGTCCTTTGGAGCAGCGTCTTCTGCCTGCTTCTAGGCAGAGCGCTTCTCCTTCTTCCAGTCTCTCTCTCTCCTGGTTCCCTGCCCCTCTCCAGCAGGACCTGGGTGAGGTTACAAGGGTGACTGCTTTATAAGAATTCACCAACCTATTAAAAATCAAAGACTTGTGGGATGCAACTAAGGTAGTACTTAGAGGAAAATGTGTGCATTTTCAAGAGGAGGCTACAATTTAATAAGCCAACTTATGAGGTTTAAAAAACAATAACAACAAGAGCAGAATAAACTCAAGGAAGAGGGGAAATATTTTGGAAAGATGATAAAGTGAAGTCGCTTTTAAAAAGTGCGATCAAATTAGGTGAGAAGTGACTATAAATGATTGGGAAATAGAATAAAAGAAACCTTTTACTGGACTCAGATTGCTTCACAAACGTCTACGAGTTCTTCTTCACTTTGCTCCCACTGTCTACCCTTCTGACGGAAATAAACATGCCAGGTAGGGAGACAGACCCTCGCCCAGCACTTAGATTTCAAAAGCAGGTTCGAGCATCACCACCTCAGTGAGGCTCCCAAAGGGCCCTTCCCCCAGAACGATTATGCCCTACTTGGTGCTCATCAGATACCACAGATGCTCCTACTCAAGCACTTCATCACCTTTTGTTTCCATATTTACCTCCCTCTCTCTAATGATCTGTAAGCCTCATAGACATTGGTTGAATAAGTTTATTTTGATTAAATAACAATCTGAAAATGAAGGAGATTTATGAAGATGCAGTGATATGGAAAGGTATCCAAGATAAAGATACACCGTTGAGCAAAAAGAACAAGTTGTGTGTGTGTGTGCGCACACCTATTATTCATAGGCAATGTCTGGAATAGTACACACACTGTCAGTGGCTACCTCCAGGGACAGAAAACGGTGTCAGAAAGAGGCGGAAGGACTTGACTTTTCACTTTCCTATCTTCTGTAAAATCTTAAGTTGTTAATATGGCATGCATTACGTTTATATTTTAAAAAATGATTTGGCTATAATTTTAAAAACTCCATCATTTTGTCAATGAGAACCTTTTCCTAGGAAAAAAACAAAATGTCAATTTTAAACCCAATACATTCTCTCGTGTTCACAGCACATTTTCCAAGTAGAAGTCATTGCAGTTTTTTAAACTGAAATATTACAATGCTATTTATAGCTCTCCTAGGAAATTAATAACAACTATTTCCACAAATTCCTCCATTTTGCATAAAAATGGCCTTTCTTAGGGAAGTATTATAATAGTGTTGGATGGACTTTTTTTTTTAAAGATTGGCACCTGAGCTAACATTGGTTGCCAATCTTTTCTTCTTCTTCTCCCCCAAACCCCCCAGTACATAGTTGCATACTCTAGCTATAGGTCCTTCTGGCTCTGCCATGTGGGATGCCATCTCAGCATGGCTTGATGAGCAGTGCCATGTACGTATCCAAGATCTGAACCAACGAAACCCTGGGCCACCAAAGCAGAGCACACAAACTTAACCACTTGGCCACAAGGCCAGCCCCTGGATGGACGTGCTCTGAAACCTGACTGACCTCAGCTGGATGCCAGGCTCTGTCATTAGCTGGGTGATCTTGGGCAAACTCCTCAACCTGTCTAGGCCCCAGTTCCCTCATCAGTAAAATGGGAGTGACGCGGCCTGGTTGACAAACCCTACACCAGTGCTTCCCAAGCACCCCTGGTGGAACGTAAGAGTGCTTTATGTGGTTACCTGGACAAACATGTTTCACCTGAATGACAATCACTTATGACCTTGGGATCAGGCTAACATAGGTGGAAACCACCTCAAGCAAACCATAATTACAGGTACTGTGCTCTCGCAGGATGACAGATGAGTCAAATCTTTAGTAACTGAAGCTTTACCAATGCTGTTGAGATGTATAGAGAAAAGTGAAAACTTGTATGTTATTAGTTCCACCGGTGGGAAAGAGAGGCCACCCCTCACACAACCATGGTGCAAACTACGCTTGAAACATGCACTGTCCGCAGGCCCTGAGACCTCATCAAGCAATTAGCCAGCAAGGGTCCCACCACCGAGAGCTTAGGAAACAGCCTGGACAGTGGTGGCCACCTATTCCACCTATCCTGAGTCACAGATCATCAAGTCCAACACATGAGTCACGGGCACATATGTCCAGGTATGTATTTTTGTCAATTGATTAGATTTATAGGTTTGATAACTTTTGGGGAGGCTTTTAAAAAATATATAGTAACCATCTATTTAGGAAAAGTTTTAATGTTTTTTCTTTTACAATCGCCATATAAGGTCTCCTTTTAAAACGCATTTAGTGCAATTGCGTTAGTGTAAAATGCATTAAGTGTAAAAGTAACTGGAAGATTGAGAAACACAGCCATAAGCCAATCACCACGGATTCTGTTCCTGATTACGGCACCAAGGCAATTGATGCGCAGAGCTGACACCACATTCAACTCCACCACCCACGAGGAGTGGTCCTAGTTGTGTAAGACATCACCTGGGACAACTTATGATTCCATTTACTGCATCTTTTCTAAATGTACTTTTCATTACTTGTGCCATATTTAAAACCCCAGAAAACATCTCAGCTGGAGTAATATCTCTGAATGGAATGTGCTAACTTTTCAATGAAATAACGAGTATTAAAGCAAAATGTATATAGTCTCCTGCCTCACCCAATTCTCATTTTGATATCTTCCGAGCTACAGAAAATTATGAGAATACAAAGTAGAAGAGACACTGGAACCCTCATACACTGCCGCTGGAACATAAAGTGGTGCAGATGCTTTGGAAAACAATTTGGTGGGTCTTCAAAAAGTTAAACATAAAGTTGCCGTATCACTCAGCAATTCCACTCCTCAATGTATATCCAAGAGAAATGAAAACATATGTTCACACAAAAACTTGTACTACAACATTCACAGCAGCATTATTCACAATAGCCAAAAAGTGAAAATCACCAAAATGTCCATCAACAAATCAATGGATAAATAAAATGTGCCATAGCCATACAATGGAATATTATTCAGACATAAAAAGGAAGAAGGTACTGATACATGCTACAACATGTATGAATATTGAAAACTATGCTAAGTCATAGAAGCCAGCCACAAAAGGCCACAAATTGTATGATTCAACTTCTATAATTTACGATTCATTATAAATGAATTATGAATTATCCCATTCGTATGAAATGTCCAGAATAGACAAATCCATAGAGACAGAAAGTAAATCTGTGATTGCCAGGGGCTGAGACAGAGGGGGTATGAGGAGTGACTGCCAATGGATACAGAGTTTCTTTTTGGGGTGATGAAAATGTTCTAAATTAGATGGTGGTGATAGCTGCACAACTTTTTGAACATATTAAAACCAGTGAATTCTACAAAGGATGAATTTTCTGGTATTTGAATTAGATCTCAATAAAGCTGTGAATTAAAAAAAAAAGCAACAAAGTAGACCCATATAACTTTCAATTAGAGTCACTAATTATTAATGTTTTACCACATTTGCTTTCTCTCTTCCCCTCACATGTGCACACACACATACACACAGTTTACGGCAAGATGGTTTAAAATTTAGTTATTGTGACACTTCACTCCTAAATACTTGAGTATGTGAAGTATTCTCCTACACAAGCAAAATACGAATACCACACTTGGGAAATTTGACACCAATACAAATCTATTATTTAATATACTCCTATATATCAAAAACTCTGCATTGTATTTGGTTGTCATATCCCTTTAGTCTCTTTTAATCTAGAAAACTTCCCCTTTTTTCCAGGCCATTGACATTTTTGAAGAATCCAGGCCAATCATTTCACAGAATGTGCTCAATTTGGATATGCTTGTTTCCTTATGAATTGATTTAGGTTAAACATTTTTGGCAGGAATAGCACGTAGGTGAGCAGTGCCCTTCTCAGTGCACCATGCTGGAACCCTCTATTATTATGCCAGAATATACTGTCAGTTAGTCTTTTAGTGGTGACGGTACGGTGGTGGTCACTGTTGTCTTGCTTAGCATGGTGACTACCACATTCCTCCACTATGAAGGTAGTTTTTTCCTTTTGTAATTAATAATCTGGAAGGTGGTCATTTGAGTCTGTGTAAATATCAGGTTTCCCCAACCTTCTTGCACCCAAAGATTTTAGCATCCATTCATGCTCTTTGCCTGGTACTCTACCCCGTTTGAGACTGCTCTGCATTTATGTGACCAACCACTACTCTCAATGCTATTTCACAGAGTATGAGAGCTAGCCGTGATTTCAAACCTGGCTGCACACTAGAATCCCTGCTATCTCTAGTACTGGGACCCGGGCAACCCCATTTAAAATTCCCCAGGGTGACTGATTCTGACGTAAAGGCTGACCTTCTCCGAGTTACAGGAACCTTGCACCACCCTCATTTTGCAAATAAAGAAACTGAGGCCCGAGGAGGTTAAGCGATTGGCCAGTGGTGCAAAACCTGTTAATGGCATAGTTAACATTTTCATTTTTTTGGACTTGCGTTTTAACATGCCATTCCTTCTGTATGTTCGTCAAAGAACAAAACCAGAGAAACGAGTAACTTCTGCACAGCGTTAGAGCTGACCACGGCCTGAAGTGCACATTTCTGCTTTCCAGGTGAGTCTGCCTTCCGGTCACAGAGCCCTGCAGTCATCTGAGGGGGAGGGGGCGGGGCGTGTGGTCACCGAGCTGCTCCGCCCTCAGCGCTCAGCTCAAACCCGGACCCGGGCCGAGCCAGACGTTCAAGGAGCCGGTTAGCGCTGCAGCCCCGGCGCCGGCCCCTCGGCCCCGCACGCCCCCGGATGCCGCGGCGACTCCGTCGGGGACCCTCCGTAGGACAGCCGGCCGCGCGCGGGACGCACCTGGCGGGACGCACCTGGCGGAGCGCCCCTGCCCCGCCCAGGGACACGCAGCACTGCGCGGGGCCCCGGAGACGACAGAACGTGCTGGCCCCGCCACCCCACTTACCCCGGCGTGATAAACCTTGTTCGCTCTTTTAATCTTAATGTCCAGGGAGGTCCCCATCTCAACTACTTCGCTGCGGGCGCCACTTCCTGCCTCGCGTGACCTGAGGGGAAAGAGGGCCGCCCCACCCCTCCGACCCGGCCCCGCCCCTTTCTCCTCTCCGCCGGCAGTTGCATCACGTGACCTCGCGCCTTACGCAGGCTCGACTCCCCCGCCTTCCTCCTTCCGGCGCAGGGGCGGGCCTTAGCGCGGGCTGAGGGGCTGTCACTCTTCGGCCCGCCCCCGCCGGGCGTGAGGGGCGTGGCCCCAGACTAGCCCCACCCCTTCCGCAAAAAGAGCGTCACGACGCCGGAAATGCCTTCCTTCTCGCCCGTTTTGTAGAGGGAAGGGGAACTCGGCTCTCCCGGCGAGCACCGCGGCCGGGGGCGGGGCCGGGGCCGCGCGCGGATGCTGCCTGCGCAGGAAAGCTGAGCCTCCCGCCGCTGTCCTAGAGTCGGCTTTACGGCCGTGGTAACTGGGACCGGCGTCCCCTCCCCAGTCTTCTTCCTCTCCTCGTCGCTAGTCCTCCTCCACTTTCTCCCAGGGCTTCTGAAGACGGGGCGCCCTGTGTCCGTCCCCGGCTTGGCGGCACTCCCTGCCCTCCCCGCGGCCCCGCGCTGCCGGCCTGCAAAGCGCCGATTGGCGGGCGGCTCGGCTGCCCCGCCCCTGCCGCCGGGCCGGGGGCCAAGGTCTCAGGGAGCGCGGTGACCTCGCCCCACTCCGAGCCGCGGTGCCGGGTCACCAGCCGCCCGCCTCCGCGGGGCGCGAGGGCTTGTGGGTACTCCCCCGGCGCGCGCCGCGGACGGGTGTTGAATATTCATGATCGTGGGCAGAACGTGGGAAGGCGCGGCCCGCAGGCCCTGAGTCCCGGCAGTGCGCGCGGATGCAAACCCTGAAGCCGAAACGGAGCTGCCTGAACTAGACATAAGACAGATACCATGTTTTGGAGGACTCTCCAAGCAGGGCAGCAAGACAGTACTACGTTTGTTGAAATAAAGTCTCTTGTAAATGTTTTAAACGGACTTTTTCAATAAATAGGTAACATTGCATTACTTTCATACATAAGTTAATGCAGTGAAGAAATGCTTTTTTTTTTCAAATTCCTTCGTTCTGATATCTGTTTTCCAAAGTGCATTACTTTTAGGATTACAGCAGAAATTCTCCGTAAAGTGATTTCATGAGTTAGCATTACGAAGGCTTTCCTCTTGAGAATGTAAGGTATTTTATAGGGCAACAGTGATGGTGCTGTAGCTGCAATTGCTTTTGAAGGTTGCTACATGTGGTGTTTCCCAATATTCAGGTCTTAGTTTTCAGCTGCCCTCTACCCTCAGGCCTTCCGTCTCTGTCTTGGATATCTTCCTGGCAACTCAAACTCAGCAATTCTAGAACAATTCTTTAGGGACTTAATCACGGTCTAGTCTATTTGCGATTCAAGGAGTGGATCCCTCTCTACTAGACTCACCCGTCATTTTCACGTGGTAAGATACGAATTTCAGTAGACGATGCAGGGAAACAGGAGAAGAAACCCTTTACACGGGTCCACATTCTGGACTTTGTAGCTTCAGCAAACCCGCTTTATACTTACTTTACAGCAGAACATTCCTGTTCCTCCGGGACAGGTATGCCATATTTTACCCATCTTTGTAGGTTGTACACAATCTTTATGGAATGCTGATGCAGTGCGCAGAGCTTTAGTTCCAGCAATTATCAATGTAATCTGTTGAGTCAGCCCAGTGTAATGACTTCCAAACATGAAACAGTCCAGTTTTCTCCAGGCACTGCTCTTTGGAATCTTTTCTGTCCCTTAACCACACTTAGGTGACACTATAACTTTCTGGTCAATTTCAGTTTCTAAAAATCAGACCATGTCAAAGTGTCAATCTTATGGCTTGACTGGGGCCCTAGATCCTTAGTGGGGGTGGGAAGGTACAGGTCCTGGTTCTGACTCTCAGACACTTCCTCAACATTCTTCAAGGCCTGGCATCTGTGTTGAGACGAGAATCTCTTAACAAGCCACTGCTGGAATTCTCTCTTAGTGGTTCCTTACTTCTCCGGATAACTGGCCCTTGTTTGAAACTCCTTTCAGGGGCACATATGGGAAGGCCCAGTGGGCCTTCCCCTCCGTACTTTTCCATGGGAGTTCTACCTCCAGCTTGCTCTTTTCCATCACTCTACTGCCAGCACCCAGCAGTACACCCAGTCTCCTGGATGAGGGTCCAGCAAGACAGCTCAAGACCATTTATCTTCCACAGAGTCCACCTGACCCATGAGAAACACACATCGTTGCCACACTAAAGGGCTTCTGGAGGCTGCCTCATACCCTCTCTTCTCCACCCTGCCTTGTCTCTTCAATCTTCTTGTTCCCTCCTGAAATACACAGGGTGAATCAGCAAGAATGCTGACTAGTCAGATTTGCAAGCAGGGAATGGAACACCAGCCTCCCCTTCCAGGAGGCCCCACTGATACCCAGGAGAGATTATTTTACTGCCTCCCCCTCTGCGTCACTTCCCACCAGAAACACTATACTCTCCACAAGGCCAACTGCCTCCTTTCATTCCTTCCCCTGCTTTCCTTTATAGACTGAGAGGAGGATCAGGAAAGTATTTGGTGGAAGTGGGGCTAGATCTATAGCTTTTTGTTAAGCCCTGGGGAAAATGTCTGGCCCCACTGTAGGCATCTTTCATTAGAAGATGGGATAGTATGCCTGTTGTTTTTAGCTGTGAGCCTAGTTTCCATTCTGGGACAATAGGAGAGGTCCTACTAAATGTCTTTTAGTGGATGCTGTGATGCTCTGCCCAGACCCTTCTTTCAGGACTGAAGGACATGTTCCCTGAGCTGCTCAGAGTATTAGTCTCAACAGCTCTCAGCTAAGTCACGCTTCAAAACTTGCCCCCAGCTCAATAAAACTGCTCTGCCCAAAGTCATGGTCCCTTTTGCAAGGGACAGCCCAAATCTAATAGCTAGTCAATTTGGGACATAAAGACCTCTTCCCCTCACCCCAGTTTGGGACAACTCTAAAAGACAATTCCACTTCCAAAGCTCCCTATATTAGTTATCTATTGCTGCATAACAAACTACCCCCAACAATTAGTAGTTCAAAACAACAGACATTTATGGTATAGTGTCTATGGATCAGGAACTCAGGAATGGCTTCACTGGGTGGTTCTGGCTCAAGGTCTCAGGTGGTTGCAGTCAAGATGTTAGACAGGGCCACAGTCATCTGAAGGCTTGACTGGGGCTGGAGAATCCTCTTCCAAGATACCTCCGTCAAGTGGCTGTTGGCTGGAGGCCTTGGTTCCTCACCATGTGGCACTCTCCACAGGCTGCTTGAGAGGCCTCACAGCATGGCAGCTAACTTCTTCCAGACCAGGCAATCCCAGGGGGAGAGTAAGCCGGTAGCTTCAGTGCTTTGTATGACCTAGGCTCTGAATTCTCACATTCACTTCTCTTCTGTTCGTTAGAAAAGAGTCACTAAATCCAGCCCACACTGGAGGGTAGGGGTACTCAGCTCTGGCTTTGGAAGGGAGCATCACACAATTTGTCGATGTATTTTAGCCTGCTCTGCTCCCGTTGGATGGGGAGCCTCTGTTGTGATCGCATCATTCAACTTTTCCCTCTGCCCAACCCAATCCTGCACCCTCACCCCTATCCCTCCATACCTGTTCATCTGGAGAGCACCCCTTAATCTGCTTTCTGTACCTCCATCTCAGAGCCCGCCTCCCAGCAGGCCAACCTGCAACAGTCTTGTCACACTAGTTTCCTGACTCAACTTCTCTGAGGCTCAGTTTCCTCATCTGTAAAATGATCTCAGTATCTTCATTACAGGGAATTGACGGGCTTCATAACAGCTCATGTATTTACCAAATAGGTGCTGTGGGCCGAGCACTGTTTTAAGTACTTTAAATGCATTAACCTATTCCATCCTCATAACAATCTCATGAGAGAAGAACAATTACTATTGCCTTGCCTCATCTTACGAAAGGGAAAAACTGAGGCACCAAAAGAGTGATGTCCTTGTCCAAGGCCACATAGTGACTAAGTGGCAGCCACCCATGTGGATTCCAGAGCTCGCATAGGCAATCACCAATCTCCATGCTACACAGGTGTGCACATCAATCACCTGGGCTTAGAGTAAGGGGGCACGTGATTGTCATTAAGAGGCTGGGCAAAGGACTGCCAACTAAATGTGAAAAGCAGGCAGAGGTACAATGTCACAGTCAAAGGCGATTCCAAAGAAAAGAATGGGATCATTTTATCAATTGATAGTGAAGACACAGTAAAAAACCATGGCAGAATAGTATAGTGTATTAGTGTCCTCGGGCTGTTGTAACAAAGTGGCACAAACTACACAGCTTGAAACAACGGAAATTATTCTCTCACAGTTCTGGAGACTGAAGTCTGAAAACAAGGTGTCAGTGGGGTTGGTTCCTTTTGAAGGTTCTGAGGGAAGGTTCCGTTCCAGCTCTCTCTCCTTGCCTTGAAGATGGCCATTCCCCTAACCCCTCAAGTCTCTTCACACTGTCTTCTTTTTACATGTCTTCATCTTCACATGACATTCTCCTTCTTTGTGGGTCTGTCTCCAAATTTTCCCATTTTGTAAAGACACCAGTCATATTGTATTAAGACCCACACTAATGACCTTGTTTTAACTTGATTATCTTTGTAAAGACCCTATTTCCAAATACTGTCACATTCTGAGGTATTGGGGGTTAGAACCTCAACATATGAATTTGGTGGGAACACAATTCAACGTGTAACATATGCAACAAAATATATAGAATTATATATATACAATATACATAATATATACGATAATATGTTATTTAGACATATAAAGATAAATGGACAGATATAGTTAGTAGAAGATTTTACACAACACAGTCTATCAGAGATTAACTGGATAAAAAATAAAGACAGTGCATTTTCATAAAATAATTAAGAGTTATAATTAACAAACAAGATAGAATCACAGGGAATTTACCTTTTCAAGTGTCTATGATGCATTTCTAAGCATTGATTGCATGGTAGGCCACAAAGAAAATCTCAAATTCAATTAACTAAGTATAGTCCAGATACTTTAACCATCAAAAGTTTAACTACTTGGAGATTAAGACA